CTCCCTCTCACTCACTCTCTCACTCTCTCTCTCTCTCTCTCTCTCTCTCTCTCTCTCTCTCTCTCTCTCTCTAGCTCAACAGCGACTCCCGAAACAATTCCAATTGACCTAACGTCGCTTTTTCAATCTCGGCATCCTTCGCCTCACGATTTTCATTGCCGAATAAGGCCTGGCACGCGCATTAATCATATTTCATTATCGTGTATTTTAAATTCTGAAATGAATGCCATTATACATCCAGTTTGAAAAATTGTTCTTAAAATGAATGTAATCAATATTTTGAGATTTCGTCTTTTATCGCAACCTGGTTAAATAAATCTTTAAATTGGTCCTACTATTCGGTTATACGTCATTTCTGTTATGGGATTGTGTTCGAATCAACGCCTCTAATCGTTCACTGTGGTAACATTTAATTCCTCCATTTTGTTAAAAATTTAGTTACAGTCGCCTATTAAGTAACATTAATTTATTAATTTATCGAGCCTCGTCAAATTGCCTTCTCGAACAAATGTTACGATTGTCTATTCGTAAGAGTTAATGCAAAGAAATGCTCGTGAATAGGTTTTTTTTTTTCAAATAGGTCATAATGTACAAAAAACAAACCTTACTCCGGGCCCTTTCTGTTCTCTAAAATAACGTTTCGCGCGAGTACGCAACCTCGTGCAATCGAAATGTAATCGATTCATCGCTGTACTCCGCGATTAGATAATACATAAATTTTAATTTATACCTCCTCGTTATAATGCCAAAGTCAACATTCTCTATATTTTTTTATTACGAATAGAGTGGCTCTAGCCTAAAATCCATAATACTATATCCCTTCTCAATTACAAGATGCTATAAGGAAATCATAGACTATCATGAAGCCATTTGAAACGATTCTTTTCGTCAAATAACAACGAAGAAATCACTTTCTTTACACAGGAGTATGCCAAGCGCAAACAGTGCGACATACGGCCCAGGCTCGCAAGCCTATCCACCGGCTCCCGAGCACAACGGCTCCGAAAACTACATGCCCAGCAACAATTACGGCTATGCCCCGGTCGCCTCCTATCATACGTCGACTAGCGGTGCCGACGTTACGTCAATTCCTGGACATCAGTCTCACGCGTCAGTGCCATCCCAATCCAATCAGCACTACTATGCCGATGTCCATCACCACAGCCATCAGCAGCAACAGCAACAGCAACAGCATCAGCAACATCAACATCAACATCAACAACAGCAACAGCAACAGCACCATCACCACCACCATCATACGACAGAGACCTACGCAACCCATCAAATCCACCCTGTCTCTAGCCTCGACTATCATCGTCCGAGCAACGTCAGTGGTGGTGGTGGTGGTGGCGGCGGTGGCGGCGGCGGCGGCGGCAGCAGTGGTGGCAATGGCACTGGCAGCGGCGGCGGCGGAGGTGGCGGGAACACGGGTGGTGGCACCAAGTGCCATCCAGGAAACGTATACTACGAGCAACAGCCCCAGCCCCAGCCGAGCGGCCAAGTGCACGTACACCAGGGCGGCGAGGCTTCGAGCATCCCAGCCAGTTACGTCTCCTCGCCAGATCCTTTCCCCGCGGCCCCGGGTATCGCTACGACCGCAACCGCGATAGCCGCAGCCACGTCCGCGGTAATCACGCCTCCCACTGGCCCAGCGCCCGGACACTCCGAGTCCGGGCAGCACGACGCCTACAGCGCCTTTGCCGGTTACTACGGGACCGATGGAACAGCCCAGGCCCAACCCCAGGCCGATAACAGCAACAGTTCCTCGGATTTCAACTTTTTGAGCAATCTCGCCAACGACTTTGCCCCCGAATACTATCAGCTCAGCTGAGCACACGAGCACGATGTCGTCGTCACGGCGGCGTCCGCCGGCTGTCAACAGCATCAGCCACAGCAACAACAGCAACAACAGCAACAGCAGCAGCAGCTCGACTGGAGCGACGAGCAGTATCTTCTGAACGAGCTCTACTGATCGGCGGCAGAGGAGCGCCGAGGGTTCGGGATGCCTAAGGAACCCCGACCGGATCAGTCGACGTGTTCGCGCGCGGCTCTGGCCCATGGCCAAACATAACAAAAGAGAATCACGAACGACTGCCGCTGCCATCCCAACTTACTTTCCTTTTAACCCGACGAGTCGCCGTGACGCTCCTCCTTTTCTCCAGGTCACGCGACACTACAGACTAGCGTTTTGAAGCAGCGTACAAAACGATTATGCTTTTCTTTATGAAGAGCCAAACAACGAGAAGCCGAACGTGGGCCTTTTCCTTTTGCAGGCGCAGCTCTCTCTCTCTCTCTCTCTCTCTCTCTCTGTCTCTGAAGTTCATGTGACACTTGAAGCATATCGGCAAGCATCGACCCAAGTGTGATAATCGCAAACTCGCGCGAACTGAAACGAGCCGAGCGCCTCGATGTTTGTCGAGATGCGAAGATCCCGAGTCCACGCTCCAAAAAGTGAAATTACGCTCTCTGACCTACCCGACCTCGCTGCCGCCCGCCTACCGATCCCTGCCCAACAACCCACGGCACCTACAGCCCATTCCCCAACGCACGAATCCCTCGAGCGAAAAACTTTGTAAGCGTCGACGGGATAATGCGGAAATGAGTATACGAATTGTTGATAATTAAGGACAATGTCGTACACTCCCCGTGTAAGAGATATTAAATTTTCAATGCTTACGGTAAGGAAGCGAGATAAACCTACGTACGCATTCCGCATTAACTTTAGTGAATTTTTGCGACAAACACGAAAGCAAACACTCGCTCCATGCGATCTTTATAACTTCAAATAGAACATTAAAATTCATATGTATTATAGGAAAAGAATGATTTATATACATGCGCGTAAATACGTAAATACGTACGAGCGTATATGTGAGTGCGCGCGTACGCATGTATGTGTGCATATATAGCTCAATCGAAGAAGATTATATAATTTCGAGCGAGACGATCGTAAATGTAGATATTTCATGCTTGGAAATGCAAGTCCCAATTACAAAAATTATTACTTAACGGGATGATTATGGCAATATTGTAATTCTAGTGCCTGATGTATAAAAGAAAAAAAGAAAAAAAATTGTATAGTTGTTGCAATAGACATTAACGGTTAACTGCATTTGTACATGTTTATTAAATTTATTTTTCAACGCTTGAATAATTTCATTGCAGTTTAGCATTCGTTAAATTCGCCAGCGCCCATTTGCAAAAATGTATGGAAATATTGTATTCGCTATCCCCACGACTTTATTATCGTAGGTAAATAATTCTACTTAATTTGCTATGCTTATCGGTTTTAAGAAACTCGTTAATGCGTTAGATATCAGTCAAATACGATCGTTAAAGGCGTTGTAAGTCTCGTACGGAAATAAAAGGGAAAAAACGTAGTTTTAAAAGCCCATCGCGAACCGTCTCTTTTGTATATTATCAATGTCGCCTAGCTGTTGTTGTTTATATAATTACACTTGCAAATGCAGCCACAGACATCTTCCCACGTATAAATAAACAACCATAATCGTACGCACATAAGCAGGCGTATGTTTCTTTTTCGAGGGAGCGTTTGAAAAACTTTTGTAAATAATTGATAAATAGGACGTATGAATATATATATATATATATATATATATACATATACATGTATACACGAATTAAGTGAAATACCGTTTATTATGGATAATACGTAAGCGTTGTTTGGCGAATCTGCTACAGATGGCGTGTACAAGGTTATCATGTGCGTATACGTTCACTCATTGCTACACTTATTAATTATACAGATCATAGCGAAGCATATAAATAAAAGGACATCAAATAAAATTGTATTTTACATTAGTACCTTGTCCGTTGGAAAACGTAGAAAATCGATGGTCACAAATTTTGCACCAGCTGCCCTCCTTCAAGCATCATTTGGAACAACTACTACTCTGTTTAAATTCACCCCTACAATAATTAATGGAACAATTAAATGCAGCAAGAACAAATACCTTAAAGTTTATTTCTCTTTTTTATTGTGTCGTAGAATCATATGGCAACAGCCTCGAGTCATTTTAAACGTCTTTGCACGAGCATATCACTCGCTTATCACAACGTTCATTCGTAAGGCACAAATTACAAGGCTCGAATCAACGCCAAAACTCATAATTCGAACCGAATAGCCGGATAAATGCCATCGCCACGGCTATGATGACAAAGCGCAAATTTATAAATAGTACTGGACTTGGACTGAAAACGAAAAGCCATGGGAGCGTTTAATCATATTCAGCTCCCATTGATTTAGCGGGTCAGCGGTAAGTGGCCCCGAGACAAGCCAAATACCCGCGTCGCAAGCTTGTGAGTCGGACTCGTTAATGCAGGCCCTAAATGTATCCGAGCAACGAACGACCAGGGACGGGGAGATCCTCGTACTCCGACGAAATCGAGCAAACGTCTCGGTTGTCTCGACGAGGTACGACGAGAGACAAAGTAGCCGGCCAAGAGAAGCGTTCGCAGGTTCGCAATGGGTAGGCGGGAGGAGAGACGGAAAGTCAGGGCGTCGCACCTATATAGCTACGGCCGGGCCGCTGAAGAGCTCGGTGACAATGATGGATGATGGTGCGTACCACGTGCGTGTGCGTGCGTGTGCGCGCCTTCGGGCCCGTAGATTTGCCCCCGTCTCCGGGGCGCATCTGTGCAGCCGTGGCTCTCCCTCGTGAAAACGTAACGCGAGCCCCGATTGCATACCTCCTCTATGACCCTCCCGAAACGAACTAATTTTGGCACTATTAACTTTTTGTCTTTCCAGCCGCGAGCTAATAATTACATTTCCCTCCTCCTATCTTTCCGTCGCCGAATTCTTCCGTCGATTAGATGCCTTACGGCCTTACGTGCGCGGAGGCTATCGTGTTTTTTTTCCTCTCTTTTTTTTTTTTTCCTCTCTTTTTTTTTTTTTCAACGGGAATAAGTTTGTTATTGGATAATAAAGTGCGTCTGTAAATAGTGTCCTCGAGTCTATATAGATATGCGCGGCGATGAAAACGGAAGATCGAGTGTGTGTGAGAGAGAGAGAGAGAGAGGGAGAGAGAGGAAGAGAGAGGGAGAACGACTAAGATAGTAAAGCGAAAGGGAGGGAAGGAAAAGGAAGAGAAGGGGATAGATATACAGCAGAGAGAAAAGTGTAAGTAAGGGTTACAGCCCCTCGCATGGTCCGACTAAGGGAAATATAGAGACGGAGAAAGAAAGACAGTCCAAGGGTTAGCGATTTGGGGAGTGTACGAGAGCAGACGCAAAAGACGTCCATAAATCTTGCCATCGTCGAGGGACGACTCATTCACGCCACTTCACCTTCCGCCCGATATTCAGTGAAAGAGATCCCCGTTCGGAGCCTGTTGCAGAGCGAGAAAAACAGAGGAAGACAAATAGAGAGTGAGAAAGAAACTCCATAGTCGCTTTTCACAATGATAATGCTTGTGATATAGTTGCCGTAGGACGGCCGATAATACGTTTAAAAAGTAATCTCCTTTTCTCGCTGTCCGCTCTCGCTGATCGTGAAAGCAAATGAATTAGACCCTTACAAAGCCCTTTAAATCGAGTGTAAAGAGTTTGACGTGCTATGATCGCCTTTATGATTTTATGAAAATAGGTTAATTTTATAAGCCTAATAAAGGGGAATACGCGAATGAGTATTCCAAGTGCTCGCAACGTATCTTGAATCGGAAGGTAGAAGGCGAACGAACGAACGCTGATGATACGCAAATCATACTAATAATAACTAGAATAATATTACTAATGATAATAAAAATCATAATAATAATTATAACGACGCTGACGATGAAATATCGATAATCATTTTGAACATTAAATTAATGGTAGATATTTTTTCAATGCCATTCATAACGAGCACTTTTATCGAAAAATTATCCCCGTCCGATTCTACGAAGAATAACGTGATTTTAAAAAATCTGAGCTAATGAAAGCCAAGGGTCAAGACCCTTTCCAATAAATAATGCATCCGCACTTCCTTGTCGAGCCTTCGAAATTTAAATATCATCAAGCGCTCAATATTTCATCTGCATATGAGGGATGGCCGTAAGTGAGGCAGCGCACCTTCGGTACCAAAGTTACGAGGGGAAACGAACGGATGTCTTCAATTAATGCCGAGCTAGAAAAATAATCTGGCTGACTCTCGATTGCTTTTACCGCGAATCGTAATATCCAGAGGCTGAGCTGTCGAGATGCGTTGTTAATACTTAAACGTTAACAAATGTAAATGGGCACAACTTGATTAGATCCCGTCGATTAAGGGAGGGCACTGTGAATCGGATGAGGAGGGGGGAGGGCATTCGGGACGGGGGACAGAAAGAGAAGAGTAGAGCATTTCGCAATGGGCGAGTGAAGGAACAACCATGGTGAGATGCAGCGGCCGGCGGCTGCTTTTGAGCTCTCGGTTTGTCATGGTTCGTATGATAAATGTGAGCGCTTGCTGGGTCTCTCTCTCTCTCTCTCCCTCCCTCTCTCTCTCTCTCTCTCCCCCTCTCTCTCTCTCCCTCCTCTCCCATCCATCCTCCCTCTCTATTTGCCTCGCTACCTCTCTACCTCTCTATCTCATACACTCTCTCCTTCTCCATCGATCTATCTATCTATTTGTCTATCTATCTGTCTATCTATCGACCTATTCATCCATGCATATTTATCTATATTCCCATTTCCCTCTCTCCCTCTCTCTCTCTCTCTCTCTCTCTCTCTCTCTGTCTCTCTCTCTCTCTTACACGATCTTTCGCTTTCGTCAAATGCATATGTACGCAATATACTGTTGCGGTAGTGTGTAATCCTCGGAGCTCGAGCGAAGGCCGCAAATAGAATTTATATACTGGTTTCGAGCTCCACCCCCACGAGGGAGAGTCATCTCGAGCAGCAGCCGTGATCTCGAGGCAGCTGGGGGTGATGGGGGGGGGGGGCCCAAGAAGTTAATCATCGATTGTTATGTTATACATCACTGGCTTTTATCGCGTGTCGTCTCGGGGTTTCGATGTGGCCGAAATTTAGCGGATGAGTGGCATATTAATTAGCTGTGGTTAAAGGGACGCCATTCATTACTATTCGTAAGCGTTGGTTTCTAATCATTTATATCGTGAGTATTAAATGAAGCTGTGATGATAAAAAAAACTTGGAGCAAAACTTCCGATTTCTTTCTCTTTCGTTGCTTTTATTTATTTTTCATTTTTCTATTCGCTGTTATTATACTTGAATGCTCGAATCAAATAATGATTTGCGAATTAAAATTCAAGTATACAGTCACACGTTTTTCACAATATATGC